GCCCGTTGTAGCCCTGGAGAGGTGGGCGCACAGGGAGGGGGCCAGAGGCCATGAAGGTGGGGCCAGGCTGCGGCCAGCGTGCGTGCACGTGCTGACACGTGTACACACAATGCACACGTGTGCACATGCGGCGCACACATGTGTGCACCCGTTCATACATAGATACGTGCGCATGCATACATTCACATGCAGGCAGAGCACAGACACGTGTACAAATGCACACGAGCCTATGCACACACGTGCGCACACGTGCAGGCAGACACGTACACGCAGACACACGTGTGCACAAGCGCACGCCCCGGAAGCCACGTGGTGCAGAAGGCCGTCTGGCCCCCCGTCCGAGCGACTAGCTGTCCCACTGTAGGCGCGTCGCCTGCTTCTCGAGCCTCAGCTTTGTCACCTGCCCGCTGGGCACGATCTCTCCCTTGCAGGAACACGGCGATTAAATTCGAAGCATCTTGAGGGTCAAGCACATAGCAGGGCCTCTTCGGAGGCCGTCCCCTCCATGCCCTGCTGCCGTCCCCCAGCACGAGCGGGGAAACCGCCGCTCAGTCTTTGCTGAGCAGATGTTTTACCTCCACGTGACCTTCGTGCATTCAGCGGCGAGGGGCAGCACGCTCTTGCCCGCCCTCCTCCCCTGCAGACGGCGGTGGAACCCGGAGCTCTGTTCCCCCGTCTCTGCTGGCTGTGAGGGGTGGGCCCTGGGTCCCTGCCTACCCGCTTTGCCCGTCTCTGCACCTGCCCGCTGTCCTGCCCACTTCAGGCCCCTAGAGGGCGCTGCTCTCACACCCAGTATTCCAGGCCGCAGTCACCCGGGTGGGGCAGAGCCCACCTCACCTCTGGGTCCCTAAGGCTGATGTGAAGCACCTCCACACAGGAGGGGCTGCGTGGGGGCAGGTAAGGAGATGATAGGTAGATAGGTCATAGATGACGATGATAGATAGATAGATAGATAGATAGATAGATAGATAGATAGATAGATAGATAGATAGATAGATGATAGGTGGATAGATTATAGATGGAGGGAGGGAGGGAGGGAGGGAGGGATTACAGATGGGTGGACGGATGGATGGGTGCTGATGATTGATGGGTGGACGGATGGGAAGCAAGGCAGTGGGGAGGCCATTTGTGCTGGCTCCTCCCTTGCAGACCTGGGGAGCCATCAGATCTCCAGAAGCTCAAAATTGGTTCGACGTGCCAACTGCCATCCTGCTTAGAGGTTGGCAGGGATGAGGCGATGGGGTGGGTTCAGGGGACATGGGGGCCCCTTTTCAGCTTGCTTAGTATCTGCCCCGTTTCCTTGGGGTGTGTGGGGGCCGGTCCCGTGTCCGCGCCAGCCCAGCAGGGCAGGGTGACGCTGAGCTGGAGGCAGGAAACCACCAGCCCACTCGGAGGGACTCCTGGGGACATCCTCAAACACAGCCCCACCCCCACTATGGCCCAGGCCACTCACTCGGATGTAGTTTGCGTTGATGTAGTCACCCTCCTGCTGGCCCTGTGCCCGGCCAAGGCAGACGCGGCTCTGGGGATCTAGGAAGTAAAATCAGCAGAGGGCAGAGGTCAGAAGGGCGTGTGAGTGAACGCAGACTCCAGCGGGGCCGGGAGAGTCGCGTGCTTGTCACTGAGCCTGCGTGTCACTGGCTCGTTTCCGCGCGGACGGCAGGGAGCCACAGCCTGCTTCCGACCAGTGGCATGACGCAGTTGGAGCCGTAACTTGGGGAGGTCGTGGGGTGCTGTGCGGGGTGCCCTGGCGAGGAGAGGGGCAGGCAACAGGGACTCAGCGGGCGTTACTGTGACGTTGTGGCCTCGAGAGGGGCGTGGGCGTGGAACAGGACACTGCCGGGCAAGGCGCTACTGAGGACGGAGCTTTGCTGACGGCGCGTGTGGCGTCCCCACAAGAGACCTGCCTTAACCGGCACAGTGTCGGGGCGCCTGTCAGCCGCTCCTCGGAGGGCGCCCCAGACCCAGTCCCAGCTGGGCTGCCCCCTGCCCTCCTGCCATGAGAGCCAGCCGCGGCTGTGAGCCACGCCTGCAGGACTGGGCGCTGCCGAGGTGGGCTGCGGAGCTGGGCCGGCCGGACGAGGCTGCTCCGAGGGGAGGGGTAGGCGTGGGTCTCTACATCAGCTTCTGAAACACGCAGCCTCATGGCCCGACCCGGGCCGGCAGGCTCGCAGCCCCGTGGCTCCCACTGCCACCCCTGTCACTGTCCCCCTACCCCTGAGAGCCGAGCTGGCGGTGCCTCGGTCCCTGCAGGCCTTCGCCGTGTCCCCACGTGGGAGGAACGGGAGGCAGGTTCGGTGCCACTGGCTGTGTGCCCTTGGGAGAGCCACACAGCTTCTCTGTGACTCGGCTTCCCCGTCTGTGACGTGGGGATGACAGCATAGCACCGGACCGGGTCCCTTTGAGAGAAGCATCGCTGCGAGGGGCTTGGAGCAGCGCCAGACGACCCGCACTGAGCTCTGCGCTCCCCGGTTCTCGTTCGCTCTCCTGTGGTCAGGCCCCGGCCTCCAGCCCAGGGGCAGCACCGGAGCCCTGCCCCCCGCGCAGGCCTTACTTGGCAAGATGGTCTTGTACCGGTCCTTGGATGCGTGGCCAGGAATATCCAGGTCTTCGGGGCTGACAAAGTTTGAGGGGATCTTCTGGTGGGGTGGGGGGGACACGGGTGAGTGAGCAGCTGTCGCCCCTCCGGCCCCCTTCCGTCTCCGCCCTTCCCTGGCAGAGCTGGCTCTGGCTGTCAGGCGAGGGTCTGGACGGGTGGGGGGCGGGAGGGCAGTGCGGGCGGGCTCTCCCCTGAGCTCTGCCCGCAGGGCCCGGGTTGCCGCCTCTGAGTCGGGAGGGCAGAGTGGACCCCACGCTCTTACCATGAACTCCTCTTCCAGCTGCTCGGGGCTGGGCGGCTGGTGCTGCAGGGCCCAGCGGGTGAGGGGGCGCCCCGCCGTGCGCAGGAAGTGCAGGGTGACCTCCCGGGGTGTGTTCACCGAGCAGATGGGCTCCACGGCGCCCAGCGACTGCACGTCCAGCACGAGGGCAACGCTGGAGCCCCGCCTGCGGGCACAGACAGCCGGGCCGGCGGCATCCGCTCTGCCTCCAGGGCACGTCTCGGGGGGAGCGGGCCTGCCGTCTCCCCGAGCTCGAGGCTCAGGGAATTCTGGGGCTCGGCCTCTGCGGCGCGCCTCGCCCCCTGTCCCCCACGGCTGGGCAGCCTTGAGCCCAGCTGCTGGCACCAGCTGCCACCTCCCCACATCCTGGACTTGGCCCTTGGTGCTCAGACCCACAGCCAGATCCAGGACAAATCCAGATCCCCTCCAGGGGCCCCTCAAATCAACCTGGGTTTTGGGGAGCAGGGGCAAGGTAACCGGAAACTTTGTGCCCAGACATGTGAATGACACGCAAATGCGCACGTTAGGGTTCCTCCTGGACTGGACTTGGCCGTCGGGTGATGGGAGGATGGGACAGGCCCGGCCGCGGGGAGAGGGACCCAGCCCAGGGAAGGTCTCACCTCTCCTGCAGCCGCACGTGCTTCTTGGCTGGCGCTCGGGGTGGGAGCTGGGTCATGGCTGCCCCAGGGGCCAGGCGGGCAGCTGTGCTCTGGGACGGCCCCAGGGGCCTGGACCATGCTGGGCCCAGGGGCGCTCGGTCGGCCACGGGGCTCTCCTGAGAGACCAGCCCTCGCGTGGCCTCTGGCCGGCCCTCTGACCCCTGTTCTCACTCGGGGTCTTCTATGCCCCAGAAGTGGTGTCCTGTGGAGCACGGGAGGCCAGGGTTACCGCCGGGGACCCAGGGCGGTGGCCTTCTGGGGCCAGGTGGGTAAGATGGCAGCAGAGACTGTGGGTGCAGATAGGACAGGTCCCTGGAGGGGAGCAGTGGGGGGTACCACCAGAGCCTCGAGTTCACGGGGCCCTAAGCCGGGCACCCAGGGAGGAACTGTGACACCGGGGTCTCTGTAGGCCGACGGGGACGGCTCCCAGACACCCCCGCGAGGCCGGCCAGGGGCCTCCTCTGCACGAGAAACGAGGCCTCCTGTGTCCTTGGAGCCAGTTGGGGACCCAGGCAACTGGCTGCTGGCCCCTAGCAGGACCCTCTCCTGCCCGTTGCCAGTCCCCTGCCAGGACCATGTTGGTAGACTGGGGGTGCGCCCTTCCTCCCCGCCCATCCCCCCATCTCCTGCCTCCCTAACCGTCACAGGAAATGGCCTCACCAAGCCCCGAGCAGCATGGCGAGGCGGCAGCTGGGGGGGCGAGGGGTGTGGGGGCCGTGGGGCCGTTTCCTCATGGGGGGCAGTCCCCGTGCTCCAGACCCGGGGTCACAGCCTCCAAGGTGTGTGTGTGTGTTGGGCGTTAGGGTCCCTAAGGCTGCAGGACCAAGCAGAGGGGGACGGAGTGGCCATGCCCATGTGGGTGGTGGCGGGGGCTGGCACGGGGGCCCCGCAGCTCTGTGCTCCTGGCGGCCCCCACAGCCCCCCGCCCTGCCCCTCGGCAGCGAGGTCACTCCGACTTCCTAGCCGGGCACTGGAGTCCCCGATGCCCCTCCTCGGAGACGCTCACCTGCCTCCCCAGGGGCCGTACCCCACTCCAACTCACCGAAGCGGCTGCACCCCCGGGGCTGCCTCTCGCCAGCTGTCGGTCTGTCTGGCTGGCCGTCTGTCGGTCTGGCTGTCGGTCTGTCTTTGAGGCTGAGGAGGCTTCAGGAAGCCAGCTTCCTCCCCCCGCCCTGCGCGAGCCACCCACGCACACCCAGCTGCACCCGACCTCTCGCCACCACCAGGGGTCGGTGCCTCTGGCCGCGCCCCTCCGGGGCAGGCTGCTGGCGTGCCCGCTT